AAGAACTAGTTTGGTTGAAGACTTTTCTTAAAGAGTTGGGCAAACAGCAGTTTGATTACTTATTGTACTGTGACAATGAGAGTGCGGTGAAACTTGCTAAAAATCCCGTTTATCATGGCAAGACGAAGCACATCGGGATGAGGTATCACTTTGTGAGGGGATTGATCAGTAATAGAACAATCAAGTTGAAGAACATCTCAGGTGCTAAGAATCCAGCAGATATGTTCACCAAGACAGTGGTGCTGGATAAGCTGAAGCTTTGCATAGCTTCAGCTGGTCTCCTGGAATAGTGTTGAGGAGAGGGGCAACTAGGGAGATGTGAAGATCAAGGAAGATTTTTCATTTACAGAAGTACAGAGAGGAGCCGCAGTTTGGTCCAAAGACTCCAAGTGGGAGATTGTTGGTGATGTGTAGTCATCGGCCCAAAGTGGCCCACTTGTAGACAACTGAGAATTAGGAGACCAGATTAGGGTTTCGGCCGGCCCAAATGGTTTTAAGCCCAGTTTGCTATAACTTGTCCAGCAAGGGTTAAACCCTAATTAGTTGTCTATATATTTGATCTCCTGTACTTGTAATCATCATCACTCAATAATACAAACCCTAGTTGCCCCTGTGGATGTAGGTCAGATTAGACCGAACCACGTTAAATCTCGTGTTCTCTATTGCTTTCTTGCTTTCTATTCGTGTGTGTGTGCTTTTGTTCTTAACAGTATATTGCTTTGATCGATGCGAATACAAAGATGACCCAACATATGTCAAGAGCAACAAAGTATATGCAATATAATTAGTTGACTGCTACTTTTTTTAATTCTTTTGTATTTCTACAAAGTACTAGGTATATAATTAGAAGTTTACTCTTAACTTACAGCTTTTTGCAAGGACCCATATCTTAATAAAGACTAATGTTTAATTCAAATATAAATTAATGCTCCCATGTTTTTAGAAATAACATAGTATGTGTGTATTCATAAGACTTTTCAAACCTTTTACACATATGCATTTGAACAGGAGGTTGCATTTGTTTGTATATGTCACTTCCATAGGGGATTTCAAATACAGTTGTGGGCTACTACTAGGAGTACTAGCCAAGATAGACAAGTCCTTTTGATATGAAGTTATATGGGTTCAATATATAATATAACACTACATCTACAGAGTGCAATTAGTCAAGAGCTCATCTCATGCAAATAATAATATCTACGGTGGCTCAATATCCAATCTCCCCAAAAAGGCTTGATGCTTGTTCATCCAGAGTTGTTCCTACAATAGTCCAAGATATTATGAGACATTAGCATCCAACAAAGTTTTCCTATTGTAATATTAGTAACTTATTCAACAATCTGAAGCATATAATGTATTAAGAGGGCAGACTGCCAGTGGGTTTAAATTGTCTATTGTCTATAAAACTAAAATTGGTAGAGCAGAGGATGAACAAATGCAATTTCACATGAAATGTCTCCTCTACTTTAGTAGTTACTCTCTCTGTCTAATTTTATATTGCCTGTTTTGACTTTGGGGCATATTTAAGAAGGGGTAAAAATAGTGTTGACTATTCAAAATTGTCTTGCTTTTTTACGGGGATGGCAATGAATGAGAAATGGCAATGAATGAGAAGATAAGGTAAAGATGAGTGGCTTATTTTAGGAGTAGTTTAGCTATTTTACCCTCAAAATTTTATTATTATAAGAGAAATAGGCAACTTATTCTAGGATGGACAAAAAATAACCAATTTAAAATGAGACAGCAGGAGTAATATATACTACCTCCGTCCTAGAGTATGTCCATTTTTATTTTTACACATCATCCAATACACTTCTTTAATCCATTTTATCTTGTAATTTGTATATTAAAAAATTATAGAAATTATATATTAATAACCTATATGTTAAGACAATTCAAACAAGATCACACATGACTATATTTAGGCTTATACATTGAGAAAATTTGATGAGTCAAAGTACGTAGATAAACAATTCCAAAAGTCAAATCTAGACGAATACTCCAGGACAGAGGAAGTAAATGTCAAACACATAGATAAAAGAAACCAAAACTAACGAGGTACCTATAGGCTATAACTAGCCTTTCAACATTATATTATATGTAACAAATAATAATTCCACAAAGAAGCAAATGAAAACATCTAAACTAATGATGATGTAGGAAAAATATACTGACACAAATTCATACATTGCATATCAAAGACAAGATATACATGTTCATAAACTTATAGCAATTGATACAAACAAGCCCATCGACACAAGTTGTAGAGTTCAGTAATATAGTACTAGTAATATAGTACTGCACCTACATAGTGCAATTGGTCAAGAGCTTATCAGCTTATGTATGATAACTCAAGATTCAAGCAATAGCGAAAGCGCTTGAAGCTTGTTCATTCAAAGTTTCAAACTTGTTTCTGCATACACCATAAAACACAAGATTACAAAACTTCAAGCATCCAAGGCACATCATGCATTATCATAATGTCCAAGATACTATGAGATATATATGCATCCAACAATCTTCTTCATTGTAATAATATATAGTTGAACACATGCAATATTTCTCTTTCTTATCTCTTGGGGATTGCATTCTTGTATCAAATCTAAGTGCTTAGAGTTTTAAAAGGGCAGTAAGTCTAAATTATTTATACAACTAAAAAATGCTACAGCTGCAAGAGAACAAATGCAATTTAACATGAAAAAACTCTTCTAGTGTAAGAGAAGTTAATACACATTTACTAATTGCACTGCCCATTTTTTTATACTTTATATGACCCCAAAGTCAAAAAAAATTGAGTGCTACAATTAGAGGGGGTGCAGGGGTGTGTTAGGGACGAGACGATCTAGGGGTTTACCAGGGGTTATGGGAGTATGAACAAGTAATTTTACGATAAGAGCTCCATAAGTACTCCGATAGAATTGGTGTAACAATCTTACACCAAATATTGGGTTTAAGATTACACCAAATATTTGGTTTAAGATTTACTCTCATATATAAATGCTAAACACATAAATATAATAAACCAAAATTTATGAGGAACCTAGAGCTAAATCTTCAACATTATACTCTGTGTGTAACAAAAATTACACAAAGAAACAAAGGAACCCATCTAAACTAATAATGATGCTAGATATATAACCAGACACAAATTCATACTCCATATATCAAATCAAAGCCAAGAAATACATTATACATATATGGACATGAGTTCATATCATATAAATCAAAGCCAAGAAATTCATATATGGACACAAATTCATATTATATAAATCAAAGCCGAGAAACATAGGGTTACCTTGCATATATTTAAAATTTGAAGGGATAAACTTGAAATCTTCAACAATCATATCATCCTCAGCCCCACCCTTAACTCCATAGTGTACTTTACAAATGCAAGTTTTGATTTCTCCAGAACCTTTATCCCTGACATCCATAGTTATCCAATACACATAGCCATAGCCAACATCGTAATTGGCCCTCACTATGCCAACCAATTCCAGTTCCTCCTCCTAAATAATGGGAATATATAAGTATATATGTACATATTCACAACCAAAAAAGAAACAAAGAAAAAGGCAGAAGAATGAACATAAACAAACCTTTTGTTTTTCAGAGCAACCTCAATGCACCTCATGAGACGTGGGAAAAAACGACCTAGATAATCCTCTCCGGTTAAATCTATAGCTCTAATCCCATACCGACCATAGATTGCTGGAATAAAGTCGAGATAATAGCCATTGGAGATATCTAGCTGATGATTGTAGCGTCCGTATTGTCGTTTTCGCTCCTGAGTCCAGTTCTCGTAGTCTTCTGGATCAAGCACGTACTTGCACTTCTCAAAGTACACATCGTCCTGTTCGTTCCCAATGAATACGGTGCTGAGGCCGCTGCTGCCGCCGCTGTTGCAGCTGCCGCTTCCATCGCTGTTGTTTTCGCCGCTGCTTCCATCGCTGTCCCCGCCGCTGCTTCCATCGCTGTCTCCGACGCAGAGCCTCTGCTTCTTTAGCTCGGGTTCTGCATCATCCCAGGTGGGTGAATGAGAGATGAACGTACGATCTTTGTCGTCCAAATCGAAGTCCATTTTTCAGATCGCACAAGAGAACGCAATGAAACCCTAGATCTGGATTGTAACTTGTAAGGGGCACGAAACTTTTGGGCGGAATTTGTTGCGTGACTTGTGTCCCCATACGTTTGACGGATCCAAATATATGGCTGAGCTGTGGTTCTAGATTTTTCTACTTAGGCTCGGTTTTCTTTTTCACTTATTTCTCCCTTTTTTCCTTGTTACTAAAAGGAGTATTCGGCCTATATAGCTTTGTTTTAAATCAAACCAAAGATTTAAGATAAAATTTCAAAAATGAATTTTTACGAAAATTGCGATTCCATATATTTAAACTTCAAAATTTTAAAAAAATACCTGAATTTTGAATTTTTTTTACAAATTGTACCTAAAGCCAATTTTTAAGTAACTAACAAGTAATTTGGGCCAAATTACAATTTTTTGTATTTAATAGTTTTTAATTTGACCATGTTTCTTTTTCTTCTTTTCCCTCCCCCATCCCTTCTCTGTCTTCTTCTTCTTTCACCCATTTTATACTTCTTTTTCAAAGCTCCCTCACGCCACCCCTACCCCCTCCCAACCCCCCATCCTGCCCCCCCTTCCTTTCCTCTTTTTTTCCAGCATACCTCCTCACTCTCTTCTTGAGCTCCCTCTTCTTGTCTTTCCCTTTTCACATTTTTTTGTTTTTTTTCTATCTTATTTGTTTGTTTTTTGTTAAAATTTTTGTTTGTTTTTTTATCTTATTTTCTTGATACTTTTATATTATTTGTTTGTTTGTTTACAAATTTTTTGTGAACTTTTTTTTAAAGTTTTTTTTTATCTATTCTCTTATAAAGCATTTTATTTTATTGTTTATTTTACTTTTTTATTTTTTTGATATTATTTTGTCTTATTTTTTTGTTTCTTTATCCTTTTTTGTTTGTTATTTTTTTATATTTTATGTTTTCATAAAAATGAAGAAAACAATTAATTAGCATTTGGATTTGTTCTTTTTTGTGGGTTGTTCTCTTTTTATGTTTCACTTATTCTTAGTTTGACTTATTTTATTTTATTAATTGATGAGTTTTATTTTATTGAATATTTTATTTTGTTTGTTTTATCAGACGAAGAAAGTTAAGAAACAAAAAATATCAAATAAAACAAACAAAAAAGAAGACGTATGGTATGATTTTTTGTTTAACTTAAATGATCAATAAAATAAAACAAATTAATTAATAAAATAAAATAATTCAAACTAAGAGTAAGTGCAACATAAAAAGAGAACTAAAAAAGGGGAACAAAAAAAATTAAAAAAGATGTAAAAATTAAAACAAAAAAGAGGGAACTCCAAAAAAATTTGGGGGGTGTTGGAAAAAAAGATGAAGGGAAAGGCGAGATGGGGGCTGGCAGGGGTAGGGGGTGAGGGGAGCTTTGGATAAGAAAAATAACAAAAGGGGGTGGAAGAAGAAAAAGAAAGAGGAGAAGGAGGAGGAGGAACATAAGGTTCAGACTCATTTTATGGATCCTAGCCCATTTGTAGGATTAAAAATGGGCCTATTGCAAAAAAGTAAATATCTACATGCAAGCCTATGAAAATATAAGAAGGTCCACATTTTAAGTTAGGATTTTAGATTATGTAAGCATCACTTTTATTGAAATGCCACCACGTTTTCCCAAAATTTTGCTTATTTTTCTATTTTTTATGACCCTTAGATCATACTCTATAAATGCACCATATGAATTCTTATTTATTTTACATACTACAAAATTATACGAAGTATACAAGTAGTATCATCCAAATCCAAATACGGGAAGAAGAAAAAGTATACAATGACGAAAGAAGAAGCTTATTAAACTTTTTCTAGAAAATATTTTAGTAGTAATACAAATTCTTATTTCTTTTACATACTGCAAAATTTTACGGAGTATACAAGTAATATCATCCATATCCAACTACAGGAAGAAGAAAAAATATTCAATGACGAAAGAAAAGCTTATTAAAGTTTTTCCGAAAAACCTTTGTAAAATTTGCACTAAATACGACTAAAACATACTTCTTCCGTCCCAGAATATTCGTTCAGTTTTGACTTTTGGAACTGTTAATCTAAGTACTTTGACTCATCAAATTCTCTCAATGTGTAAGCCTAAATATAGTCATGTGTGATCTTGTTTGATTTGTCTTAACATATAGATTATTAATATATAATTTCTATAATTTTTTAATATACAAATTACAAGATAAAATGGATTAAAGAAATGCATTGGATGGTGTGTAAAAATGAAAGTGAACAAATACTTTGGGACGGAGGTGGTAAGTAATTTCCCAATGTAGGACTTAAACTTTTTTATTCCCTAAATAGGACTTAATAATGACTAGTGAGGAAAATAATGTCCAAGTGATACTGGACATTTAGTTGAATAATGACTAATAGATAATGACCCTTGGTCCTACACTGGGAAATAAAAACATATAATCCTAGATTGAGAAAGTCATTATGTTTTAGTCTTATTTAGGTAAATTGCCCAAAATTTTTTAGTAGTAATGTGGAATTATTGTTTATTTTTAAATTACAAGTTCTAAAGAGATACTCCCTCCGTCCTAAAACTTTCTTCCCAGAGCACTATTTCAACTTCATGGGAATTACTCCCTTTGTCCAAGAATAAACTTCGTACTCTACCTTTTTTTTCGTCCGGAAATAATCTTCTCATTCTACTATTTTATACCAATTCTTCCTAAATTACCCCTTCTTTTCTACTCTTTTCTTTTTCTTCTCTCCTGCCGTTTCTCCTCCCTTCCACTTTTTCTTCTTTTTGCTTTTCTTCTTTCTTCTCCTCTCTCCCTCCGTCATCCTCCTTTCCTCCACTCAATCTTCTTTTCTTTTTTCTTCTTCTTCTTCTTTCTCCTCCTCTCTCTNTACTCTACCTTTTTTTTCGTCCGGAAATAATCTTCTCATTCTACTATTTTATACCAATTCTTCCTAAATTACCCCTTCTTTTCTACTCTTTTCTTTTTCTTCTCTCCTGCCGTTTCTCCTCCCTTCCACTTTTTCTTCTTTTTGCTTTTCTTCTTTCTTCTCCTCTCTCCCTCCGTCATCCTCCTTTCCTCCACTCAATCTTCTTTTCTTTTTTCTTCTTCTTCTTCTTTCTCCTCCTCTCTCTTCCTTCGTCATCTCCTCTTCTTCACTTTTCCCTCTTCATCTTTTCCCTTCTTTATCTCCTTCCAGATCCGAGCTTATTTCTTCTTCCAGACTTCCATATCCGAGCTTGGCAGCGGGCGACAGCGATGGTGGCGACGGCGATTGTGTTAGCGGGGATGATGGTGAGTCTAGATCTCCACTTCTTCTCCTTTTTCTTCTTAATTTCTTTGATATCTAAGATTTCTTTATCATTATTCTAAAATTTATTTCTCATCATTCTTTATTTCTTTGAGATCTAATGGTAGGGCTATGGCGGTGATGGTGGGACTGGAGCAATTATGGTGGAGGGGGATGGTGGAGATGGTCAGAGAATGGATTGATGGTGGAGCTGACAGACACGGCAGGGCTGGCGGCAAGGAGGAGAGAGGCTACGGTGGAGGCGGTGGTGGGAACTTGATGGTGGCAGGGGCTGGGAAAGGAAGGAGAGGGGGGTATTTTTGAGAAATTACACTCATAGTCAACATCCACTAAAAATGAGGAAAAGTCAAAATAGGAAGTTTATTACCGGATGGAGGGAGTAATATTTATTTGTGTTTTTTCATGACCTATATGATAAAATAAAATATTCTTGTCATCACTTGTTTTGTTGAATTTTTGATGTAGTTTTTAAATATGTATGTTTTATTTTTTATTTCTATACCAATATTTAAATAAAATAAATTGAAAAAACTTGAGATTTTTCTTCGTTTTGCGAACAGGGAAGAAAGTTTTAGGACGGATGGAGTAATACACAAGATACCTTGAGTAAAGTAATTTAAGTCTAGACCTTTGCAAACATAACTTTGGGCCGAGCTTAAGACTAAATAACTGCTCATTAATATGGATAGGCCTTGTCTGGCTCGGATTGAATGGGCTATAAGTTATAGCCATATATGATTATCTATGTAGGCTAGGCTGTCCACCGAGCTTTCAGGCTAAAGAATGGCTTCAAGAAATAATGTAAAATCAAGTAGAATTCACTTTTAAAATAATTTTACCACAAAAAATTGTGGTCACATAGTATTTTTGTTAAATAAGAATTGAAATTATTTTGGGATAAATTATACTGTGGACTTAAGATCTACCAATCTACCATGGACCTTTATATAATCAAAATACAGGGAATTTACTAAAATAGTACTAAAATATAATAACTTTTTCAATGTAATACCATATGTTTTTATTTCTCAATGTGGTACCAGTGTTCAACATCCACTGGTCATTGTTTAAGTAAATGTCTAGCACCACAGAACATTGTTCAAACTAAATGTCCATCATTACTGACATTGTTCCCACCACTAAACATTTTTGAAGTACTATTTAGGAATATAAAGTTCCAGTATTACATTTAAAAAAGACATGTTTTAGAATTATTTAGTGCAAATTAATATGAGAAAGTCTACAAAAATACTTCTTAATATGCATCAAGGTGGACCATAGAAACACTCTATTTTGTAAAGGAGGAAAAAAAAAAGGATAGTTTTGGGAGTTTCTAAACAAAGGAAATAATCGAGTTAAATGCAACAAGGCCAGCAGCTCCTACCATTCTGTACACTAACTATATTTGTAAGTGTATACAAAGTACAAACAAACAAAATAAAACAAAAAATAATGAAGCATCATTGAGGGAAAAAAGTTTCAAATAAGAGTCTTTTTTTAATCAGCGAAATCCCCTCAAGCCTCTGGACTGATAGAGTTCCAGCTTGCTTTTGGCGTCATGTAACAGCGTCTCCGCCTTGTCATCCGCCGCGGCGGCGGCAATGTTAGCCTGTTTCGACGCCCACTCTAACACCGTGAGCACCTCCGCTCGCGCCAGCTCTTCACAGTCCGGCACATTCATGGCGATGTGGCACAACAGAACCAGAGCCGAGCTCTGCACTTCGGATTCTCCCAGGTACACCAGCTGTACCAGGTGGTTGGCCCCACCGCACCCTATGATCTCCTTGGAATGGTACATGTGGAGGTAGTTGTCCTTGCTGGCGAACTTCGTCAGCGCGACGACCACTTCTCTCGCCACGTCAGCTTCCCGTTCGTCGTCGTCCAGGAGCTTTACCAGTGGGCTTATCACTCTCGTCTCCGTTGCCCGGAATGTTCTTGCCAGGTTCCCGACGGAGACGATGCAGGGGATGAGGAGATTGGAATTCGGGTTTTCTATGATCCGGACGAGCTGGTCAACGATGGCTTTGCAGGAGGGGGAATTGGGCTTGAACGCCGAACGCCTCAAATCCGGGTCCTGCTCTGCAACGGCGGTGATCTCCATCACTGCCATCGCTGAGTTGTACTGCACGTCTTCTGGGCCTTTCTCCAGAAGGACGGCGAAGCAGAGGAGGGCTCTTGATTCCGTTATGCTGCGGCAGATTGAATGGTTGTTCTTGGCTAGGCGGCAGAGTGCTCTGGCTGACATTGACTTCAAGAAAGATTTGGTTTCTGGGTCTTCAAATTCTCTCGATTTGATTGAGAGACTGTTCTGGTAGTGATGGTGGTGGTGGTGATGGTGGTTTTGGGATTTCATTGCCACGGTGGTTTCAACCACATTATGCAAATTGGTGGAATTTTTATTGGCGGTTTTGTTGCTGGCCAAAACCACCGCCTGCACTTTCATCGGACCTTCTTTGAGGACCTTGGTGAAGACGGAGCTGGCGCCGGCGACGATTATCTGCTCCACGCTTTCCGGGTCGCGGCCCAGAAGCCCGATTGCTCTGGCTGCATTTTCTTGGCCTTCCGGTTTGCCTTCCTTCAGGAGTTTCAGCAGTGGGCCCACTCCGCCTTCCTCGATGATCAGCTTCCCGTACCGGTCGTTGTCGCGGGCGAGGGAGACCAGGGAGGCGGCGGCGTCGGAGGCGGAGGCGTCGTCGGGGGGGCCGGTGTGGAGGGTCGCGATCTGTTCCCAAATCAGGCATAGGATGGGTTCGTTGGCGGCGATGGGAGGGAGGCCCAGGCACTCGTCCGCCGAGGCGGAGGCGGAGACGCGGAGGAGCCAGGACACGTTCCCGACGGAGTTCTCCAATTGGGAATGCATTTTCCGGAACGCCGCCGCGAGGTTGATGAAGAACACGCGCTTGACGATGCTGTGGGATCGGCACTTGAGGACCAAAGCCAGAGCCTTTTCCAAGACCTGTTCGATTTCGTCGAGGATCCGCCGCGTCGGGCGCTCGTACAGGTCGTTGCTGGCGCGTGCGGCCTGCCGGAGCAGCGCCGCCAGTTTCTCCGTCTTGGACTTAATCTCGCCGCAGTCTTGCTTGGAGGAACAAGCCTCGTCGGCGGCTTTAATCACCATGTCGGCTAACTGAATCGGCTTTGCCAGTATCTGCTTCACTAAATCCGCCATTAATGGAAGCTCCAACAAAGAAACCACCCCAGAACAGCATCAAACCCTCGAGATCCTCCACAACTACAAACCATAAAAATGGAGATAATAAAAAGAGAAAATGTAGGTGTAAAGAGGGGGAAAAATGGAAATGAATTCGCATTTAACACCCTAAAAGATGCTAAATACAGCAAATAAGTTGCAAAAAGTTGATTTTTTTTTCTTTATTTCAAAAAAACGGTGGAGTTGAGGCGACTTTGAGTCACAAGGGGGGTTTAAAATGTCAAATCGTCGAAGGCGTGTTTTGCCTTTCCATCTGGGGAATCGATTTTACAAGGATTGGTCGTTTGATATGGGGTTGAAATCCTTTACTATAATAAAGGAGACTCCAATTCACAAGTCTTCGACATTTGGCATGTCTATTTGGCAATTTTTAACATGTCAGCGCCATGTAATCCTTTACTATAATATTTTAGACTCATGTCTCCAAGAAATTGACATGTGTCATCTTACATGACAATTTTTAAATGATATGACACATGAATAAATTACATGACATGCTTTAAATTCGCATTCATCATTTATTGAAATTTATTTATGATAATCTTTAAAATATGATGAATTTAAAATAATATATTTTATATTGAAAAAATATGGATATTTTAATTTATTGAAAATTATGTAAATGAAATAAATGTTATTTTTCAACAAAAAGTAAATAAAGTAATAATAAAAAAGAAACTAATCATTATTAGCCCGAGTCTTTTTTCATAAAAATAAAAATCATATTAAAAGTCTTTTGAGTAAAATATACTTTTTTAAAAATTATTAATTTATTATTTTATATGAAACTTTATTGAGCTTAAATATACTCTCGAGTAGCTCATCTTATACCTTTAATTAAATGTGAGAAACTTATTAAATAAATTTAGTGCATTATGGGTTTTTGTACATTAGATAATTTTTAATATGAAAAGTTTGTGTTTTAATGTATTCAATAACTTTTTTAATAATTAAAATTTCCTTAAATATATAATAGGGAGTATAAAAAATATATAAAGATTTAAATTTTGTTTGAGATATTTTATATATTTACATCAAAATATTGAGAGTCTTTAAAAGTATTTATTTATGATAGAGACGTAGTTTATAAATGATAAAACTTTTATTTTTAAATGAAAGCATTTTTATAAAGGAAATATAAATTTTAAAAAGAATTGTTTTCATCCTCTTTATTAATAGGACTTTTAATTTTGAGCCTTTTTTTCTTTATTGGAACATAATTTTCATAGAGAAAATATATAACAGTAAAAATAGATCATTGAAAAAAATACAATCATGATATTCATATATTTACAGATTCAAGTATCGAATGACAACATATATTTTTGAATAGAATATATTAAAATAGTTTCAGCGCTCGAAATGGTTTGAAAAAGATATGAATACCTCATTTATTTTAAAAACTTATTATAAAAATAATGTCTATCATTTAAAGAGGTTACACACGCACCACATCGATTCGTGCTATTTTACGTTCATTTTTATTAAAAGGGGGCATTGATACGCATTCCAATCAACATGAGCTGATGAACGTCAATGCATATTATCATTTTTTTTAGCTTATTTCATAAATAACTGTTCTTTACTCCCTCCGTCCTATAATGATCTTCCCATAGCACTATTCCAACTTCACGGGAATTTATATTTATTTGTGTTTTTTCATGGCCTATATGATAAAATAAAATATTCTTGTCACTACTTGTTTTGTTGAACTTTTGGTGTAGTTTTTAAATATGTATGTTTTATTTTTTATTTCTATACCAATATTTAAATAAAATAGATTGAAAAAACTTGGGATTTTTCTTCGTTTTGCAAACCGGAAAGATCATTATAGGACGGAGGGAGTATAATGTTTTAAAATTCAAAATTGGTTTATATTTGAAATAAAAATCAAAATTAAAAAAAGCATATACTTTCCTCATCTAAAGTTAAACATTTTTGTTTTTATAAATTTGGATGAAAAGTATTATTGTTTATTTGGTGCATATGCATTTGCATGAAAACAAAATATTAATTTCGTAAAATAGTAATACACAGAGATTCTAGCTACATCCACTCATTTTAGGTGATTCTAGATAACACTAGCTTTAATAGAAGTATCTACGGTGCACCGTTCACAAAATTAATGATTCCTACCCTCGACACCCGGGTAAATCCCCACCTTAGAGCAAGTGGCTCCAGAATCATTTCGATAAAGTCATAATAATAATAATAATAATAATAATAATAATAATAATAATAATAATAATAATAATAATAATAATAATAATAATAATAATAATAATAATACAAAAAATGCATGCAAATAATTTTTTAAACACTATTGAAAAGAATCAGAAGAAGTTAGATAAAACTAAAAGAGAGGAAAAAACATAATGACTTTTCCTAAATAGCAACATATATTTTTTATTTCTCCATGTAGCACTTTTAGTCATTATTCATTACTCATTATTAAAATAAATGTTCACCATCACAGGATATTATTTTCCTTCTAGACATTATCAAGTGTTATTTAAGAGATAGAAATTAAATTTAAGTCTTATATTGAGAAATGACTTATGTTTTAGTTCTATTTATTAGTACAGATATTTCTCATACTTATTGTTTCTAAATTGCATTTCACAGAAAAAACATTTGGTGAAAATATATCTTCATTAAAAAAATTAATTCATGATGATGAGATTGAACTTAAATATATTCATTATAAACAAACACTCAATATATACCTTTAAAAACGAAAATCTTTGTATTACTATGTGTTGATGTTTTATGTGAATAGTAGGAAAAAGTAGATTGATCATATCTATAGTTAACACCTTAAAATTAATCTAAATTTAACATACATTTAGACTTGGTTAAGAATACCTTATAATATTTGTTATGTGGTGATGTTTTATGTGAATAGAGGAAAAAAATTTATGATCTGTATTTACTATTCTTTATGATGGTATTACAGGTACAGGTGGAGAGGCATCGTCGTCAGGTACAACGCCGCACCGCCAAACACACACAAGAAGGAATGTACTTTGCGATGTGACAAATGAATGATATTTATAAAAAAACTTATTTTTTAAATTAATTAGGTAAAAAATCAAACACCTTCCCAATGAATACTTCATTTTGTAGTGTTTTACATTAAAATTGTTGAAATTTTAAAATAGATATGTTACGAAGTTAGTACCTTATTAACATGTAGGTAGAGTCGACATTTATATGTGCAAAAAAGACAAAGAAGTAGTTGAAATGATAAATGAATTTATCTTATCCCTCATTCTTTGTGATGAAAAGGAATACTAGAGTTCTGATTCTTCGTGCTAACCAGATGTAGATGTAGGTATTGCTGGCGATTGGATAACAGTTGAGTTATTGAATGAAATCAAATCATCTAGAATTCCAAACCACAAAATAGTTTTAAAAAAAGGGGTACTGATTATGCTATTGATCTGAGGAACATTGACCAAATATCTGAATTGTGTAATAGGACAAGAGTAATCTTTCAAGAGATGCGAAATAATGTTATCAGTGCAATTGTGGTTTCAGGAAATTGAGTCGGGGAAAAGGTTTACATCCATAGAATGAATTGAATTTAGTACCACATAATCCAGGACTACCCTTGAAGTTCTAAAGAAGACAATTCTCGATCGCCTTATGTTTGCTATGACTATCAATAAAAGTTAAGGTCAAACATTTTCATTTTTAGGATTATTTTTAACCAAATTGGTGTTTACACATGGTCAACTTTATGTTGCTGTTTCACGAGTGAAGACAAAGACAGGATCAAAGATATTGATCCTAGATGACAATTAAAAACCCTTGCAACCATACTAAAAATGTTGTATATCCTGAAGTCTTTTAAAAAATTTGGTATTAAAATAAACATTGTTAACTCTACATTCAGTTCTTTAAATAGTATTAAGTTTACTTTGACATTTTCATCTACCGTATTAAAAATTATGTGAGCAATACATTTTCATTATCCCGTAAAATAAATTTCATTGAAATAATTCAAAACGTGCATGGCACGGGTCAGGATGCTAGTTGAAAATATGAATGAATTAAGCTAATTATATCCTAAAATTTATACCCAGATTGTACCCCAAAGATGTGTACATTCATTTTGTATTCACACTGCACAAGATGTCAATGGAATTTTTTTTTGAATGTGTCAGTATTTTTTGTTCATGTAAACTAACAAAATACTAGTGCATTTTTTGATGTACAATTTGGGGTATATTCTTGGTATAGCCATAGCATGATTGAATTTGAATTGGATCGGTTCGGGTTGTTGCCCACACACCCTTGTCTCCCTTGGTTCGGGTGAACTTATGGGGTTGAGTTAGGGGCTGTTTGTTTCACCCTCTTAATGGTTCAGATGTCTGAATGGTTCAGCACTTAATGGTTCATTGTTTCAGCCTCTTAATGGTTCAGATGTCTGAATGGTTAAGAGATTTGCCTCTGAATGGTTAAGTATTATACAGAGTCTGAATGGTTAAGACCTCTTATATGAATTGATCAGACATTTGCCTCTGAATAGTTAAGCAATATACTAGTTCTTAATGGTTCAGACCTCTTACTGGTTCAGCACTTAATGGTTCAGATCTCTTACTCGTTCAGCACTTACCGATTCAGAAGTTGCCAAACAGCCCCTTAGATTTAACTCTTTCCGTTCTAAATGAATGTCACAGTTTAGTATTTAAAAAATTAAATTTTTTTTATTTATTTGTATGTTTAATTGATTATTTAATACAATAAAATATGTTTCATCTCTTGTTTTAAAGAAATTTTTCCGTAATTTTTAAATATATAAATTTTAATTTTATTTTTAAACCAATTTTTAAATAAAAGGTTTAAAACCAAACAAGAAGTAAAACATATGTTTGGAGCAATGTGCATTTGCTCTTTCAATTCTAACAGGATGTATGACGATATTGTTGGTCTTATGGGGGACCATCGATCACCCTTAGGGATTCGCTACTGTGCTTAGCACGGTATCGGGTATTGACAGCCCAACCTGACGAGATACATGAGTCGTGTATCTTGCGAAGCCCCTCCTGTCCATCCACCGCTCAGTAGTGGGGCTCCGCACTGCCGTAGTGAACTATAGGGGGTGCCCTATAGGAATCTACATTGGCTTGGGGCTACAGAGAGATGTGGTTAAATACAAAGTGTCCACCTTCCTAACACCAATTGGGTTTAGGAAGCATTTGGCACATCTTTAACTTCAGAACTCTGTGGTTAAGCGTGTTGGAACGGAAGTAGTCCCAGGATGGGTAACCCACTGGGAAGTTCCAGAAAAATGATCCTACAGATATAACTTCTGTTACCGCTTTAAAATAGAGTTATATGCATAAATTGTTATTGTGATACTCTACAAGTGTGTAAGTAGTTCCTGAACTTTTTAGAGTTGCGAAATAGTTAGTGGTCAAAGAATCAAGACAGAATTAGTGTTTTTGTTATGTTAGGGAAATTAAAACGTGAAGCGTGTATAACACGCGCATACTCTACAAAGCTGATTAAAATATAACAAAAAGCTTATCTGATGGAATTGTCATTGTTTTTGTGGTAAAAAATAAAGAAGTATCCTAGCTTCTTCCACCTTTTAAGTGCATTGTGGATGCGTGTTTTAACATGCCCACAAGAGTGGCCCGAGTTGGAGTGGTGGTGTGAGATGATCAAGGGAATTTTTTGAGAGGAGCCCGCTTTGGACTAAGGCGGTTGGAAGACGCACGAATGGTTGAAGCAACAAGTCTCCGGGAGGCATTGAGGTGGCTAAAGATGTCGGTTGGGCAAATGAATCCAAGAGTATATTGAAACTCATTCACATTCTTATTTCTTAATATCATCTATGATTGTAAGATAATGATGCGAGACTTTGTTTCTCTCACACTTTCAGTTGTTAGGAGATCAGTGGATCAGGTGGCTCACATGTTGGCTAGAGCCTCCGATTCTGAGACAGATTATCTGGTCGAAGCGGATTCATGTCCCTCTGGTGTTTATTTATGAAACATTGTACTCTCTTTTGAATTAATGGTATTCTAATGGTCATCTAATGGTTATAAAAAAACTAGTATTTTAACCCGTGCAACGCACGGGGTTGGACGAAATTTTTGACACTTCTGTAAATTAATTTCAATGCAATATTTTAAATTGAATTTATAAAAAGAATATAATATGTTTTTTTATTACTAAGACATTAAAAAAATAAAATAAATAATTTAGAATTAAATATTTGGTAATGATAATTTTTATATACAAATTCAAAAGTGAACATCTCAAAGATTTTCTAAATCTATATTCTTAAAAGGCTTTTGGGTATACAACAATTTTAGTGTAGTTGCAAGGATTTTCGTTATTATCTAGAACTAATATTTTTAATTGTATTTCTTTTTACTCGTGAAACATCACCGCAAAGTTGATCATTAGTGAACACCGAATTGATTAAAAATAATCCAACATAAAACAATGAGAATTGTTTTTTTAGAACTTTAAAGTAATTGTGGGTCAGATGGTAGGAAATTCATTCTAGGTATGTAAACATTATTCTCGGCTCGTTTTTTCAAAACCACAATTGCACCGATAACATTATTTCGTAGCTCTTCAACGATTAGTCCTTTCGCATCACACAATTCAGATATTTGGTCAATGTTCCTCAATTGTTATTCAATCGCCATCAACACCTACATCTTCAACGATTAGTCCTTTCGCTCGAATATTTGATTTCATTTAAAACTCAATTGTTATTCAATCGCCATCAACACCTACATCTCCATTTCCTTCACATGAAAAATCATAATTCAAATACTCCTTTTCATCATCGGGAATGAGATATATAACAAATTTATTTATCATTTCAACTACTTCGAGAGGTGGGCTAATAGTGTCAAGTCCTTAAAAAAGAATAATTGTTCATATTCTCTCATATGTTTGGATAAGTGAAGTCAACGTATTATACTCTTGATAGGATAAATTTTTTCAAAAATAAAAAATTTGTGGGGATCTCAATATCAATAACTCCATTACTCACCTCACATAGCTTTCCTATAAAAAAAAGCACATGTATCCCCATATGCGCAAGAGAAAGTAGATGAATGTAGTTGCATATTTTTGGTCAACATAAAAACTTTAAAAATTGACCATAATATTAAAGATTTGACTGTAGCACATACAATTTAAAAATTGACCATAATGATCGGTACCGTAAATGCATTTTAACTTCTATTTCAGACATTAAAAATAGAACTCCAATTTTGTTATATTTTCAATTTTTTATTCCAATTGTAGCCTTTTTCCCTATCTTCCACGAGTCTTCTTTCATTATAGATTAATATCAGCTAAAATCAGATAATAACTTTTCTTTGTCATAGTTCAACACCTCTACCAAGAAATTATTTCCAAATTTGTTAAGTGGATTGTCATCTCGGAATGACATACCACTAAACTCCTTCAAAGGTCGTCCATTTGAATTAGGTATCTTTCAATTTTAATGAATTACAAATTCTTTACATCTTCTAGAGAAATAAGTTCTACAAAAAATAGTTAAAATATGACTAAGAAAGTATTAGAGATTAAGAAAGTATCTTTTTTTAGAGAAGGAAAACTAATTTATTCATTGATAGTTTAATTACAAATGAAATTAAAAAATATAAAATTGGAAAAACACTTGTATTTTCTAATAAAATCGATTTTATCTATTCCTTAATTATATTTACTCAGTAATGTTGAAAAATTGTATTATATGACTTAATTAAAAATATCATATCATAATATATCATGAGGA